ACTAGATAAAATAAAAAAATATTTTAAAATGTCTCATCAGGGTTTCCTATAAGGATTTTGCATAGCAATAAATGTCCACTTACACAGGTGTATAGTCAATAGTTCCGTTAGTGTCATTAGTCATCATACTGCTATCACTAAGTGTTGCTATGTGAACTATTATGTCATTGAATGAAGGAGTGGTTCTCCTTAGCTCCAATCTCACTGTACCAACATCCTCTTCAACAGACAGAGATGAGAGACTAGTTTTAAAATAAGAATAATTTAATAGAGTCTGATGTTTGAATTATTTCTAACCTGTTTGGTGCATAAAGTTCAAATGTGCCATAAGGATTCTGATTGGCTGGAATTGTTATCATGGCAACCGACTCGTCATCAATAAGACTGCTACCGTTTGCAATTGGACTGATCGGTGTCTCAAGGAAGATAGAATAGGTCTCATCAATTTCAGGCTCTGTATCAGCTACTGCAGTTATCCTTATAACCTGAGAAATAAAGAAAGAAGGGATAAAAATAAAGTACATATTTATAGAATGATATTCATAATTATATGGTTACTTGTTGAGTTTCATGTTCTTGAAATACTAGCAGTCCACTAGTAGGAGTGAGGTCATTAGCTCCTGCTGTTTCAATCATGTATGGTACAGTAATAGTACCAAAGGTACCACCCTCTCTTATAACAGTTAACTCAGCAACTATAAATAACAAAGAATTATTACGTAAGAACTAGACTGTTTCATAATATCTCATACTATTGTCATCATTAACTACAGCTCCAGCTTCCTCAACTGACACTGAGAGAGAAGAGGGTGAGAATCCAAACCTTCCATTAGGATCATCATTAGCACTAATAGTAACAGTTACTGAAATGAAGAGGACAGATTCATAAAAAGGAGTAAATAATGTGCTTGGTTGTTTACATGAATTGTTGTTTCCTATTGTTCCTTCATTACTGACACTAAATATTTGTACATCAAATGACTCATCCAACTCTGGCATATTGTCATTAATAATGTTCAATTTAGCAACTTTACTGCTCTCTCCATTAGCAAACACAATGCTCTAAATAAAGTGCATATAAATCACATGTGAGTCACATGATAACGCTAACCGTATTTATGAGAGTAAAGTCATTTAAGTCTCCAACAGTTTGAAACATTACAGTAACTGATCCAAACAATCCACCTGTACGAACCACTTCTATATCAATGATACCAGCATCTTCTGATACTGTCAATCTATCAAAAATAGTTGCATCAAATTTAGAAAATCAACAACTACATTAAGATCTTAAGATTGCATCAAGATTGCATGTACAAGTACATGTATATGCATGTGTATACGTAGCTTACTCATTCATTGTAAACTGGAACATTCCACTTGGATTATCATTGGGGTTTATAGTGATCAGTGCTAGTGTGCTGTTAGGATTGAGTGGAACTGATACTGATGGGTCTGACTCAAGATAAGCTGATAGCAACTGAATAGCAAACACCTCAGACAACTCTGGGATATCATCCTACATTAAGAATATAATATTTGATTGACTACAGTGCTTTTTGGAAAGTATAAGCTTAAACTTTACAAAGCATAATAAAGGGTGTCAATATGTATCTGTACATGTATATAACATTAAAAACTTACATCAATTACTGGAATTATAATTGTTGCTGATGCTTCATTTTCCTCCATTATTACTGTCATAGTAGAGTTATCAAAATCATCTCCAGGAGTAGCTAATGTTTGATCAGGTAACAGTGTAATAATGGATGATGAAGAGACAGCTTGGTATGTGATCACAATCCGGCCTACATGTACAACATAAATTATAAAAATGAATGCAATATTTTATGATGCTACTACTATACACATATCTTCCCTTATCTCATTTTACCTAATGATCCAAAGTTCCTCAGTACAGTAACAGTTGGTTGGTCAGACTCATTTTCCTCAATAGGTTGTGATGATGATAGTATCTCTACCACACCATAAGGATCATCACTGGCCCTTATGGTTATAATGGCAACATTTCCATTAGCATCCAGTATGGCTTCACCCACACCAGAGGAGAGGATCCGTGTAGCTACTAACGTTAGGTAGTAGGGCTCCTGTACTTCAGGTATGTTATCATCAATAACAGTTGTTACAATATCAACTGAGGTAACACCCTAGCAAAAAACCAAAA